CAATTACGATTCCAGATACACGAATCCAGAATGATTTAATAGCGAAAGGTTTCGTTTCAGCAGATGCATGTTTGAATTTCAATGAAGGTTTGGATATTTTAATTGGGGCTGTTATGTTTTTCGAGATTGTTGATTATTCTAAAGCAGAGAAAATAAATAAATCTTTATATTGTATTTCCACTATATTCGGTTTTACGTTACAGGGAATTCAGGAGGAAAATAAAAAGATGTCGAACCGTGTTACTTCTACAAATTTAAGGTCAGTTACGGATGTTTAGGTACAGTGGGATTTAGAATTGCTAGGCATTCGAGATGAAAATGAGATAGCTATTGAGGATAAGCATTTAATAAACAAATTCAAAAATAATTTTCAGTTTGTTAAGGGCAGGTACGTAACTTTATTATTATGGAAAATGTCACCTAAAGATCTTGCAAATAATTTTTGGTTAGTAAAAAAGAGATTCGATAATTTAAAAACTAATTTTGAGAAGAATGACTGGGTTGTGAAGGAATATTAACTTACGATACAAGAGAAACAAAACAAGGGAATAGTAGAGGAATGTACTAGAGATAATGAGGAATATTTTATGCCTCACAGAACAGCTATGCGAAATGATAAAAAAAAAAACTAATAAAGTGTGAGTTTCTAACTGTAGCTCAAAAACTAAGCAAAATTTATTTTTAAATGATTATTCAGAAATTGGGCCAAATTTAAATCCTTATGTGTTAGACATTATTCTTAAAAATTTAAAGTAGCGTTCAGTGCAGATATTGAAAAAGCTTTCCTCATGATAGGCATTACTGAAAAGGATAGGAAATTTTTAAAATTTTTATGGCTTTTAGATAATTCAAGTAACAGCTTCAGAATTTTGCGAATGACTCGCCTTCCTTTCTGTTGTACATCATCTCCGTTTATTCTTAATGCAACAATTAAAAAGCACATTAAACAGTATATTGAAAATGCATGTGTTGAAATGTTGTACACTTCACTTTATGCAGGCGATCTTTATTTTGCTGCTGATGATGTTGAGGAGGCGTTTGATTTATCGACTGAAGCTGTTCATATTTTGGGAGAAGTGGGAAGGAATTTAAGAAAGCTAAATTCTAATTCGGAAGAATTAAAGTCTTTGTGGATAGAAAAGGGTATTAGTGATGTTAGTGAGAGTTCCTGTGGTAGTTTGAAAGTTTTAGGTTTGAATTGGAACCCTATAGGAGATAATCTGTCGTTGGAAACTTCCCTGTTATTGAAACAATTGAATAATTCGGCAAATACCAAAAGGTTTGTGTTGCATGTTGCTGCAATGGTGTTCTATCCGGTTGGTATTGTTGGTCTGTTTGTTTCTAAGATCAAGTGTCTGTTGCAGGAGATATGGAAAAGAGGTTTTGATTGGGACAAAGAGTTGGCAGTGGATTTGAAAATAAAATGGACTGAATGGTGTTCAGAGGTTAAGTACTTAAAGGACATAGTTTTCCCAAGGTATTCGCTTTTGTCATGTGGAAATTCAGAAAGTCAAAGAGTAGAGGTACATATATATGCATATGGGACGTTTTCTTATGTTCGGTATGTCAGTAATGAGGGAAAAATCGTAGTGGCATTCTTGATGTCTAAGAATAGTGTTTCCCCCTAAAAGAAGTTAATTTTGCCACATTTAGAGTTGATGACGACAGTTATAGGAGCTCGAGTAGGAAAGTATCTTAATGGTATTTTTGGGGATATGATTGCTGAATATGTATTTTGGACGGACTCTTCCATTGTATTGCATTGGATCAGAGGAAGCGCTGAACGTTGGAAACAATTTGTTTGTAATAGGGTCAGGGAAGTGCAAGATAAGTCGAATTCAAAGTTTTGGCATCATTGAAAAGGTAGTAAGAAGCCTGCAGATTAGAGGGACCTCAGTGCAAAATTTGATGAAAAAGAGTCTTTGATGGGAAGGTTCGAGTTACTTGGACAGGGAGCGTTGATCTAAATAAGAGAAATAAGAGATTCTGGATAGAGAAATTGATGTAGAAAGGAAGAAAACAGTTGTATGTTGTGCAGTGGAGACCAATTGGGAAATAGAGGAATTGTTGTCAAAGTATTCTTCATGGATGAATTTGCTGAGAGTAATTCCTTGGTGCTTACGATTCAAACATAATGTGAGATCCTCAGTGAAAATGAAAAAGTAAGTATCAAAGTACCAAAATAAGATCTCCTCCCTGAATCCAATTCTAGATGATGGTGGAATTCTGAGAGTGGGGGGATGACTTTGAAATGCGGAAATAACAGACAGTGCCAATCATCCAATTATCCTTCCAAAGTCGTAACTATCTCCATGGTGGTTTGCAGTTCTTATCTTCTGAAATAAGGAGAAAATACTGGATAATCAATGCTAGAACAGTAATTAAGTGAACAACACAGAACTGCATCACCTGTTGTAAATTGCGAAAGGACATGTGTGTTCGAATGGTGGGAAACCTCCCAATAGCCAGAGTAAATCCAGGTAAGGTTTTTTCAAAAACTGGAGTAGACATGGCCGGTTCTGTTAAAATCAAACCTAAAAAGGGTCGTTGTGTACGTCCATTAAAGACTTATATTTGCATCTTTATCTGCTTCATAACAAAGGCAGTTCACCTGGAAGTGGTAAGAGAACTAACAGCAAATTCTTTTGTAGCTACCTTAAAACGTTTTATTTCCCGAAGAGGAAAACCAGACGAACTTTATAGAGACTGCGTCAAAAATTTTTTCTGTGCAAATAAAAATCTGCAGTTGTGGAGATCTGCCCCAGTTTGCCAATTTTTAACAAATTAAGGTATAGACTGGCATTTTAACCCACCCTCAACACCCCATTTCGGTGGGTTGTGAGAGGCTACTGTTAAGTTCATGAAGTTTCATATGAAACGGGTGAATGGTCAGCAACTTCTCATGTATGAGAATTTTTCCACCTATTTAGCAGAAATTGAAGTCTATCTAAACTCCCGACCCCTTGTGCCAATGGCAGAGGATCGAGATAATTGTGATGCCTTTACTCCAGGACATTTCTAGTTGGTCATTCGTTGAAAATAATCCCAGAACCAGTAATGACCAATGAAAAGTCAAGTCTCAACGAGAGGTGGAAGATGGTGTGTCAGTTGTCTCAATCATTTTGGAAAAAGTGGTCCTTAGACTATATATCCCAACTCCAAAATCGACGAAAGTGGAGACGCTCATCTCCAAATACTGCCAAAATCGACGATCTTGTCATTATAAAGGATGACAATGCACCAGCTCTTAAGTAGAGACAGGGTAGAGTTATAATGCTCCTTCCAGGTCCCAACAATAATGTGAGAGTAATGAAGTTAAAAACATCGAATAGTGAAACTAAGAGATCTATTCACAAACTGAGTGTGTTACCTGTAGAGTGATAGATTTTGGTCATTAACAAAAATAACTATTTTTTCTTACTTTTTTTTAGGAAGTTTAATCTGTGTGATAATTATAAAATTTAAATCTAGAATTATCTCATTAATAATTTGTATACATATTTTTGATAACCGCTGGGTAAAATTTTGATTATTTGCAAATTTTCTCTTTAAAAATTCATACTATTAAGAATTGAGAATGCGTAACGAATATTTGTAGTTATAGATTTGTGTTTATTAGGCATTATTTTCTTGCAGTATATTTTTACATAAAATTTAAAAATCATCACATTAAATATAAATGAGTGTAACAAAATATGTGAAAGTAAATAAGTGTAAAAATAAATGTAAATAAGTGTATAAGAAAACATCGATTTTTTCTCTGTTTTAAAAGATAAGAAAATTTGAAACAATAATTATCGAAGGAACAATTGAAACACTGCATGGATTAACAGTGATATTGGTGCAAACCGAGTGTGTCAAAGAGTGATTTTTGGGATCTGCGATTCAAACTTCATGTGCCATAATAATATCGATATATATATATATTTAAAAAAAAAAACACAAGAATATCAATAATAATGAAGTTGTAAAATACATCAAAATTTAAAAAAAAAGCAAAAATTTTTAGCAATAATTGTCGAAAAGAATGATCAAAACACTACATACATTTATGCTGGAATGGCACGAGTTGTGAGCAATGATTAAGTGAAGTTTCAAATGAGCGATTTAGAATTTTCATGTGCGTAATATATTAAAAACATTGGGTCGATTTTATTTCAAGCAAATTTAAAAAAAAAAAAATATGAGGAACAAATGTATAGCATTGATTAATTGCTTTGCTACAAATCTGAATTGGTAACTTAATCTCCTCTCACAGTCATATTTTATTAATATGATGTTTTAAAAAAATGAAAGAAAGAACATGATTTCTATAAATTAAACTTTCGGGATTTTGGATTTTTTAAAATTATTTATTTGAAATTCTAGCTTGAATTCTAGTCATTGTTGATTTTTCATATTCTCAAATGAGAACAGAAAAGTTACGAGCTTTTCTATCAGATCCGATACATGAGAAAGACATCATCTGAATATAATTCTGCAGAGACAAAAAAAATCATTTGAAAATTTATGAAGGAAAGAAAACCAAACATTTTTATTTCCCAAAGGAAAAATCTCTCTGCAAAAACCATGTAATGTGCTGCGACAATGTCATCATGATTCTGCCAAGGAGATAAGGTTCAGATTCAATTTGCAAACAAGTGGAATTATTTTCATTTTGCAAACAGATTACACTAATATTACCTTAATTTTTGAAGGTCAGCATTATCTAATGTGGCACTGAAAAACTGAGAGATTACTATCAATTCTAAACAGTTTATGTGTTTGTAAGTAATGTTTTATCTACAAAAAAAAAAAAAAAAAAGAAGAAGGAGGAAATGAATGAGGGAGACAGTAAATCTGCCATGTTTTAATTACAAAATATAACAGTAAACAATCTGCTTACATTCTTACATAAAAAAAAAAATTCTTGATTGCTAAATTTACCACTACAACTATTGAAACAGCCATTAAAATGAAAGGAAGATTATGAAAACCAAACATAAAATAAGAATAAATACCTTGATTTAGGAAAATATTTTTTGGTCATACTGCATAAAACCTGCAAGGATTGTATTCTGAGAGGCATGTGTTCATCATGGTAAATTATTTGTTTACAAACATCCACAATCCAAGGTGTATCGTTCTCTCTATCAAAGTCAGATGAAAGCATTAGACTTTCAAACTCTTCAGGTGTTTGATCAGAATTTAAAATGCTTATAAATACTGCCAAAGCAGCTACTTGTACTTGGACATCTGCAAAATGAAACATTTCTTTTTGTTTTCGTTAATAAAAAATACACAATATTTCATTTTACATTTAGATTTGACTAAGAATCTCCAGTAATGAACATCTGCAAGGCAAACTGACTTTTATATAAAATAATTAGAAAAAAATAGATGCAACACATTAAAAGACAAAACTCAATGTTTACAAATAATACCTGGAAATAAGTAAATATTAAGGCGTAAAAACATATAGAGTGATGGGTCGAGGCATCTTTTGTGTGATAATAGCCATTTTAGCGTCATTGATCTGCGCAGTTAGTTACAAGCATTAATAGTCAACCATCATTTTAACAAACTATTATGAAATAAACTTAATAATTCTGTTTTTAAGACCAGATGCAAGTGCATAACCTGCATTAATATGTTTAATTTACTTCTTTTATCTTTCTTGTTTAGCTACACCATTGTATGATTAAAGTTTTGTTCCATGTTAAGTTAAACAGGTTGCATAGCCAAATCTTTCAACAAAAAATAAGCACCTTTTAAGTACTTTTAAGCACTCAAAAAATATTTTTAAGCACTATATACATTAACAAATTGCAAAATAATTTTCAAAGACTTTACATGATCATGATAAAGTAACTAGTTTCTGACAAAGAACTCTTTTCTTGATTATATTAGCCATTATAAAATGATCAAGAGAGTTTTCGACTCGATATCAGAGGGAGGGAAATTAAGTCTGAAATAGAGAATATCTTGCAAAATGCAACAGAGTTGCACATGGTAGTGCAATAATCTCACCAAACCCAGCTCAGTAGGCGCACATACAGACTCACAAGTATTTCATCAAACAGGCAAGTATTTCATCAAACATGCAAACTGATTGGTGCTTTCATACGCTATGGACGGATGGTACGTCAAAGCAGATTATGGTTGAAGGAATTGTGAAGACGTTGAACAGAACAATGTGAAAAGAAAGCTTTTGCATAATATGTGGTGAAAATTGACAGGGTAAAGAAAAAAATTTCATTTTGGAAAAGGAAAAACTAAAGACTTTTTGAAAACACCCAATGAAAAAAGCACTTTCAAATAGCGAAAATCGAAAATAAGCACCTTTAAGCTGCACCTTTTAAAAATGCTACACATCATGTTTAAAGAGTGTTGTATGTAATTAATAACACATACAATACAGGATTACTGAAAAGGCTGGTTAATAAGATAAATTAAATTACAGAATCTTCTCTGAGATTTAGAAATAGAGGGTTCTGTCAGTTTGAAGAAGTCAGTAGGTGGAAAGTCCTTCCTTTTTGCTAAAGTTTTGGAAAAGCACAATTATAGTTTATTTGAAGATACAGTAAGTAATTATTAAAATGTATTTATTATTTGAAGGAAAAAAGGTTAAACTAATTATTTTATACTTGTGCAAATCACAAAATATAAAGTTTGGACAAACAGTTCTTGAAAAATAGGTCTTTTTGAAGTCAAAAACTATTTGTATTTTGCTATTTATATTATTTTTACAAGACTTTTTATAAACTTAATTACTTAAAATAAGTTGAAAAGAATTTGCATATCTTACAGTCAAATTTTTTTTGAACATTATTAACTATAATAATAAAAAATAATATTAAAATTTTTTATTTGTACGGATCCTAGAATAACAGAAATTTAAAATTTTGTGAATAAGTTTTTGGTTTATTTAAAAAATTCTTTAGGTACTGCTAAATAGGCAAAAAGTTGAATTTACATAAAAGGGTTTGTTCTTTCCACCGCCAGATTAAACTATTGCAGGTACCTTTCATATTTTCATGAACAAAAATACAAATGTGTCAGAAACAGTAACTGATTTCAAAAAATTAGTTATTTATTAGCAACAGCTTATTTGAAGTAAATCCTTAAGATTGGCATTTAATCAGTAAAAATCTGGTCATTAGAACAAAAGTTATTTAGAGAAACAACTTTTTATAACTAAATTAGAGTTTGTTTACAGTCCAGTGAATTGCTTTGAATTAGTTAAGTCTGTTTACAAGCTGCGTTGAAAAAAAATGTTCCCAAAAGGTGTTCTGCAAAATCTAAGGATTCTGTAAAAAAGTCAAGACTTTTAAAAAACAGAACTGTGAAAGAATTTTTTCTGAGACCAAATTCTCTAGCACTAATACCTTTCTCAACATACTTTCAATAATAACAAATATGTATGTTACTAATTTAAGGTAACAAAATGCTGTGTTTACCAAAACAATATAATTTTTTTCATTGACTATGTAATACGTTTTTGATTCTAATATTCTGGGTGATATTCTCTGATTTTCTTGGGAGGGGGGAAACATATTAATTATTTCCTTCATTGCATTTTGTAAATAATCATCACATTAGAAAAAATAATTAAAAATCATGAAATCCACAGCACCGAAAAACAGATTGATGACGAAATCATGCGAATCGGACTCTTCAAAAAAAAGGGTTACTCAAATGTGTATTTTGTTTCAAGATTAGATTGTTGTAATAAATAATATCACATAAAAAGTATGTTTGTAAAAAGTATATATTTAAAAACTATGAAGAAATCAAAAGCAATAACTGCCAAAAAAATCTATAATATTGTCTTAAAAAGTAAATACTCAAATGCGCGATTCTAATTTTTCATATCATATCGGTACATTTCAAAACCATGTAAAAATCAATATCGATAACTGCTGAAGATACTATCAGCATAAATTGTGTACGTCAAAAAGTAATTATTTAAATAAATGTGCAATTCAAATTTGACTTGTAAATTTTTACAGAAAAGAAAGCCAAAATTTTTTTCTTTCCAAAGGAAAAATCTTTTTGTGAGAACTCTAATGTTCTGTAATAATATCGCCGTGATTCTGCCACGAGGAAAACAAGTAATAATTTTTGAAACCTGAAATTTGCATCCAACCAATAACGTATTATTTATTTAATATTTTGGTGAAATTATTCTATGATAAAAGAAAAAGCAAAATTTGTAAATTCCCACAAGTGTTCTATTCATACATAATGTTTAAATATTTCTCATCAAACTTTAAAATTCAAAATAAAGTAATCAAATTCAAGAATAAAGAATTATTTTTTTGTGATAAAAATTCAAACAGTTCTTTATTCAGCCTATTTTATTCCTTTTACTTATGTGCTAAAAATGACTAAATAAAAAGCCCCTGTACACCAATGAAATGAATTGTTTGATAAAAAACATAATTTTCATACTGTTATCAACCACTTTGTAGCCGTTGTATGCCATGCGACAAAGAGAAAAGCATACTAAGAGCATTGTAAAAACTTGATCTGATTAAATGATTTAGAATCCAAAGCATCAGTATAAATTTTAGAAGCAATTATTTTTATTATGTGATACAAATTTTTAACTCTTTCACCAGGTAAGAGATGTACATTTTGTAGTGATAATAAATTAGAAGATTTGCATTCAACTGTAGAAAAAAATGAGATAAGTTTCTGACAAGTATCCTGATAAGAGCTTTGATAGCTCAGGGGATAGCGCACTTGCCTTCTAATGAGGTGAACCAGGTTCCAATCCCGGAAAGGGCTGGTTTATTGGAATTTCACAGTTGGTTTGCAAAGAACCATAGTGCTGACGTAAAAATATCCTCAGTGGCAGCTGGATCATGGGTTAGAGTCCCCTTGCCGTCAGGCTAACCATGGAAGGTTTTCCTCTCCATGTAACGCAAATATGAGTTAGTTCCATTAAAAAGTCCTCCATGAAGGCAACTTTCTCTGAATACTTGATTCAACAGTTCCCTTGTCTTCTGGACTGGGTTCAAAATTACAAGGATACAAAGTTAAACATTAGTAGTTGTAAACCCAAACATTGGGTCGGCTGTTCAATGAGGGTTATAAAATAAAATAAATAAAATGGAACAAAATTCAGGCATGAAAGTGGACAAAAATAAATAAGCTGAACTTTTACAATGCAGTTACTAGGAGGGAGGGTTTTATATAATACTGTGACATCAATGAGATTTAAAAAAACGCAAGGGTACAATTACAAGGATACGGAGTTGAACATTGGTAGTCACAAACTGAAAATTTGGTCAGTTGTTCAAAGATGGTTATAAAATATAAATATCCTGATAAGAAGTAAAATTTTTAAATTAGCAAACACATCTTTTGCAGGACCAGTTAATCTAAGCTTTAAGTATACAAAAGCTATAAGATCAGACTAATTACTTAAGTCATAACTTTGTTCAATGAAGAATAATACCTCATTAAAGTCACCATTAAAAGGCTGAATATTAATATTAAATGAAGACATATTTGAATTATTTACAACAGCAGAAGTTTAAGATGTCTCTTTTGTCATTGCTTTACTTTGAAAAATAAGATATGTCATAAAATATAACTAAATGAAAATAAAATTAAATCCAATAATAAATGCTGTTGACTGAACTGATCAAAACAAAATAATAAATGCTATGAATTAAATTTATCAATAAAAAATAATAAATTCTATGAAAAGGTGCTGCAATAAATAATATCAGGAACAGAAACCACTGATCTAAATTTTAAAGCTGAAAATTTTAATTTATCAGAAATGCAATTATTAAGATTAGATTAGGCATTGTATTTTTGAAATAGAAAAAAAAAATGTTGTTTCATTCATCCAAGTTTTTTGAGCCCTATGGCAGAATTTTTTCGGGCTTTCTGCAACATTCCTCTCTAAAACTAATATATTTCTGCAAGAAACTTAAAATTAACAAATATACATGTTACTAAATATACATGTTACTAAATATACATGTTACTAAATATACATTAAAAAGTCTTCCACAAAGGCAAATTTCTCCCAATATTTGATCCAGGAGTTCCCTTGTCTTCTGGATTAAGTTCAAAATTACAAGATAACAAAGTTGAACATTAGTAGTAGTGAACCCAAAATTTGGTCGGCTATTTAACGACGGTTATTAAATATAAAATAAAATCTAATAACACAATGCAACCTCAGCAAAAACAAAAATTAATGATAAATAAAAAAATTGGAATTATATAAAAAAAAATTTATTGTGTTTTTACAACATGTCGCTTAGTTTACTGCATGATTTTGTGGCTTTGTTCAGTACCAATTTATTGATAGTTTAAATTTTTTTTCCATATATGGAGGACAGATATTCAGCTAGTAAATAAATAAAAGATATGCACATTATATCCTCGTGACATTAAACCATATTTACATTGTTGTAAACCGACATTTTAATAAAGTTAAATTTTATCAACATTTATCTTAAAGAATTTTTTTAAATTCGAATTCACATGTTGACAAAATGAGTTATAAAGCAAAACTTCATCTGGGCCATATTATTAACATAAGAATAACACATCAAATTTAAAAAACGACTAACCTTTATGGAACAAGAATCCTTTTATTTGCATAAGATACTTAAAAAGTATTTCATTCCTTAACTTGTTATAAGGCACATTTTCCGCTAACACAGCATAACACTATAAAACAGATGAAAACATATAAAGTCCACTAAATTGATTTTCCAAGATACTTTTTGTTAAAAAAAATTAAGCTTGATTACGGTTATAAAATGAAATAGAACTATCAGGGTTTCCACGCAATTTATGATTTCAAGTTCAAGGACTTTCAATGACCTAAAATCAAATTTTTCAAGGTTGTATGTAGGTGGGAAAAATTATATATTTCCATTTTACTTTCAAAAATTTACTCATTAGAGCTTTTCAAAAATTGTGTTAGTTCAAATTTCTTTACCAATTCATATCTGCTAAGCATTATAAATTGCATATAGCATGAAATGCCAGATTTTGATCATTGGAATTTAGGTAAGCCCCTCCCATTCTCTATGATTTGGAATCAAACTTTTATTTTAACACAACATAAAAAGTTTCAAAAATCACTGTTAGTTAGTGTGCTACACGTGGTTAAAACAAGGCTAATACTAGACATGGTTTCTTTTCACTATTGGTTTTACCGTACTTGTATTTTGTAATCCAATCATATGAGAGGGGTAGATAAGGATAAGGGCTTTTTAAAAAGTAGATCAAACTAGAAAAATAGATAGACTTAGCTGACCTTCAATAAGAAAACTGTGAAATGAAGGGAAGGCCTATCATTTCGCTTAAGGTTACTTTTTTTGAAGGAAATATTATTTTAAAAATTACTCTGGGAAAATCAAAAACTTTTTAATGACCCTATCACAGAATTTAAGGACTTTTAGGTGCCCTCATTTTTTTAAAAACAAAATTCAAGGACTTTCAAGGTTTTTCCAAGTACAATGAAAATCCTGTAATACAAAAAAAAGAAAGAAAGAAAACATAAATTAGTGGGTCTTTTTGCTCACTTACTACTAACACTTGTTAATCCAACATTCAGAAGAAATCTGGCTATCAAATCCGGTCCATTCGAAATTTGGCAAAGCACTTAGTAAAGTGAGTAAATGTAAAAACTACATTGCAACAAAAATAAATACAAAACTAAGAATGTCTTAAAAAAGACAGTTATGACTAGACATTCAGAATTGTTTTGAATACACAGTTAATTCAGCACCTATTTTTTTTTTTAAAAAAAATAAATATTTTAACCTTTTCAAAAGCCTTAAGTTTTTTTATGACCTTGTAGCAGGACATGACTATTTCTCCTTTTAACATACAGAGCTTCTTTCCCTAAGAGTTAGTTTGTAATACAATTGAAATTTTATTACTGTTTTAAAATTCTAGTCATTTGATATAATTATATGACTGAAATTTTATGTGAATAATAAAAAGAATAAATGATTAATTTTGTGACATGATTGAATTTTTATCACTCTTTTACTTGGAAAAGAGAAAAGTATGCTAAATTTTGTTTCTCAAATTGACTTGTATTGATAAGCAAAAAGATCTGCGTTTTCGTAAGTATTCATCATAATAAATCATAAAATTAACTCAAGGTCTCACATAAGGGTAGAAATTTTACTGATTTAGAAATGCTTTTATTTTCCTATTCTTTCACAACAATCAAGGGTATTAAAGTAACATTACTTTCATCTTTATTTGTCTTTTTTAATCATTTCTCCCTCCTAACATATTATTCACAAGTTAAACCATTTATTATTTTTTTCAAACTTCAGATAAAAGTGAATAAAATAAACTTCACAGCTCACTTTATTGCATTCATATCATCCAAAGAAAGTTACAATCACCTGTTATTGTGGTGACAAAACAGTAAGAACCACCATCAGGAATGAGGTTTGGAAGCAATCACTATCAGGCTGCAAAATGACCTAATTCATGAGAACATATTCTCAAAGAATTATTTAGTACTTAAAAATCTTTTACAATTTAATTTTTCTATCATGGCAATTATTAGTAAACTTTCTAGAAAAAAAAAAATTCCGAAAGGTCGCAAAAACTATCTGGGAGTTTTAGTCACTGAGCTCCCACATCATTCAGGACATCTATTTTCAAGCTCAATGGCAAAATTGCTCTCAAGCAATGGCGCAACTCCAATGGTCAGAGACAAGCTAAAGAGTTGAATTATGACTGCCCTAGTGCGCCTCAAAAAGAGCTTCCGAAGCAGAACAAGAAGATCATTGGTCTTCTCACTGGATGCACCCTCAGAAGACACCTAGATGGTTGTTGTATCTGATTCTCTTTGTAGAGGTTGTCATCTTGAGGAGGAGACTCATGACATATACTTTGTGAGGTCTATTCTGCTCAAAGATTTGAGCATTTAGGGCAACATTGCATTAAGGCTTGGGAATTGCAAGATATTCCTGTAAGTTGTTTGCTGAACTTTATTTCAGCTATAAAGCTTTCTTGTTAATCAGGATTTAGGGTTTGGGTACAATAGTGCTCTGGTCAACGTGCCCTGCTCTTTGAAGCTGCCAAACCTCTAAGTCTTCACCTGAAATCCTATATTTCCAGGTTTTGCTGCAAACCTAACATTCTATTTTATAAATTGTTTTAATGGGTAGAAAATATACAAAAAACATTACTTTTAGAATTTGCAAAAGCAGAAGAGATGACTTCTCAGAGATTAGAGCAAGAAGCAAACATCTGTGAGTTTCAGTTATCATTGATGCAAGAATTGAACTCAGTGAAGTAAATGCTGAATGTCTTGTGCTCCTGAATAAAAATGGATTAAAATGACATCATTCAATGATATTTTTGCCATTTAGTTAAGCATAAAATTTTTGTTGTTCAGGCAAATTCAGTAAAAAAAAATTTTAAATTTTTTATTGATTACAGAATTTAATAAAACCCACTAAATTAACAAACTTTAAAAAAAGTTTTTAACATAATAGATAAATCAATAAGTAAATTTAATGCTAAGTTAATAAATAAAATGAATTATTATCTTAAATATTATTATTAATTTAAGTTAATCAATTCATTCTTTAAGATTTTAAATGCAGTTCAAATAGAAGAAACCGAAATATTTTTTAAGCACTTAAAATTTTCTCAAAAAATTTTTTAGCTACTAAAGAATTACATTACATTATATCAATCGTTCTAGCATAACAAATTGCACTGAATATTTTCTGCTACACAATATACTCTCTCATTAAAATAGAAAACACCCAAATTTATATTGAAAGAAAGTCATTAGTCTGAAGTTTGGGAAAACGAGTTAATGCTCATAGGATTAATTTATTGCAGACATTAAATGAAATAAATACATAATTATAGTATTTTCACAATATTTATGAATGGTTAACCGTGTAAAGCTAAGCACAGATGGCACAAGGGGTTAAAATTTGTAGTTTCCGGGTTATTACTTCCGATTGATTTCTACGCCTAAACTTGATAAAGTGTGCCATCCAATATTATTATACTAATAGTGATTACAATATAATGCATTCTTTCTATTTAAATTTCAATGAAACAAACAGCAAATGAATTAAGAAGACACTCAAAACCAGGCGAATTTGTAAATTGCAGGAAACCCTAATGAATGGTAAAATTACGTGCAAATTTAAACATAAATCACATTAATAAAACTTCCTAGAATATTAAGCCTGCTCACACAATGCCTCATAAGCATAACATAAGTAGAGGAACTCATTTTTTACACAGTACAAAATTTCTCAAAAACTATAGTTTTTATTACTTAATAGAAAGAGTGTAATCTTGGCTATGAAATTTTAATTGTTGGCACCTCTGTTTTTTCTTCAAAAGAACTGGATAACATTATTAGTGGTTTGACATGTGAGCAGCACAATGGAAGGTCCATTGGTAATGATAACTCAGAGAAATGCTGCCAAAGGATTAATACAGATCAGTTTACTAACATCGTAGATGGCAAATTATTGGGGTCTCAAAACACAGAGTTCATTAGGGAGGGTAAATGCAGGACTAACTTCTAGCTACGAGTCCATGTCAGAATTTTACAATAACACTTCACTTTTCATAGCCATTGACTGCATTTTTTTTATATAAACCATGCAACACCATTAACTCACTATGCAAGATGAATGAATAAGATCATGCAGACCCTGCTTTGACAATGGATGGAAATAAAGCCTAAAAAAATTACTCCTTTTTTCTGAATCAAGGATTTTTGGGATTCAGAAATATTATTAAAATATGAAAGGGTCAATAGAATAAAGGGCTCAAATGAATAAAACAATAATAAGAAGTGACAAAATTGAAATTAATTTATTTCATTTGAATTTCTTCTTTAGAAATGTCATTTAAAACTTTACTAAATTTTATATTAATATTATGCAAGAATATTTCTCTAAAAGTGAAAGAAACATTTTTAAACAGTCAAAACTTCCATATAGATAGGTGCATGAGATACTAAACCTGCCATCAGCAAGAATTAAATATTGCTTAGAGCCTCTAATTATTTCACTGAGCAGAATTAAGGCATTAAGTCTGACCTAAAAAGAAGAAAAAAACGTTAACAATAAAATAAACCAGTAAAAAAAGCAAACAACATTTGTGTTACTCACTTACATGCGGTGCCAAGTCCTTTAACACAGTATAGAAAAGAGACACAGACACAGCTGGATGATCTGGCAAGAAAGCTGTCCAATAACTGAACATGATTTTTTTATCAATACACTAAAAATTAAAATTAAATGAATTAGCTTTTAAGACAATATTTTTTATGTGCAAAATTGAGTGATAATTACTGACCTAATGATCAGATTTTTACATTCTAAGAAACCAAAATGTTTCTTTACGTAATAAATAACATTTCCTTATTTCAGTGAGTTATATCAAATAATAAAGACTGAAATATTTATCTGGTAGTCACTAGAATTAAATTTATTGGTGCCCACTTTTTGTGTTAATTCCTCAATAAAAACAAAGTTAACCACATCTGAAAAGGAAATAAACTGTCAATAAAAAAGAGAAATTTTCAGGGTTGCCACTCAAATCTGGAAACCCCTGTACATATTATACACAATATATAAAGAGGAAAAACAACAATTATTGGGCAACGATATTTATTACTTTTAATTGCTGGAAAAACTTCTGAACATACTTAAATAACGTAAATGAAATAGTTTAGTATAGCTGACCTATCCCATTGAGTAGTCATTTTTAAAAAAATGAAAATACGAAACAAAATTCCCGGTTCGTAAAGAATTTTCTACATTTTCCAGGTTTTCCCTGTGGAGTGGCAACCATGCATCAAATAATAATAATAAAGGTCCTTTCATTTAAATTGATTGTGCTAAAATTTAGTCTATTTAAAGACTTGTCAAACATTTAAGTAAAAAATACAAGAGTGGTGAGAATGGGGTGACAAAAAGAGATTTTTTATTAAGTCGCTAATCTTATCCAAATAAAACTGTCATTTTCTTAAAAGTCATTACGGATACAGATTTCGTTTCAAACAACCGTAGCTGAGATTCAAACCTGGTTCACCTCATTGAAAGGCAAATACCCTGAGCCATCATGGCTCAAGCAATCACTTTTTTTATTTTATAACCATCGTTGACCAGTCGACCCAATTTTTTGGGTTTACCATTACTAATGTTCAACTCTGTAGCATTGTAATTTTGAACTTGATCCAGAAAATTCGGCGAAATTTAGCTTTGTAGAAGAAATTTGGATGAAACTAACCCGCATTTGTGATACATGGTGAGGAAAACCTCTCACGGTTAACCTGATGGTAAGGGGACTCTAACGTTACTTGTGCAAAAAATGGAATTTCAAAATGTTTGATTCGCGTTCATTAACGATAATAGTTTTTTCAGCTAAGGTTTGAAAAGGTGAGCCAGCCGAGAGGTTTTTTTTGTCGGATTGGGCCGATTTGAAAAAACACCCATTCTTTATACCTAGTGGCTTTTTCCCACATTTTATTATTTCCAATGAAATTTCTTTGCAATTTTTAAACCAAAATGTTCTCAGAAATTCAACTTATTTTTTTATAAAGTAATTTTTTATTCTACAATATATGAAGTAAAACATATTTCAGCAACCTGATTTTTCAAACAAAATTATATGAAAAAAAATTCATGATTAAAAAAAGACATTGCAAAGTTAGATTATGTTACTTATCTATAAAACAAATTATGTGTAATATGCATACACATGATACTTAGTGCATAATTTATAATGATTCTAAACCCTTCAGGGTTTGTCAAAATACATCAACAGACATATCTTTATATAATATAAAAAGAGACTGAAATAACACATAGCCAATCACAGTTAGTAACACACAAAACAGCCAATGAAAATTCAGAATGCATGTGTGTGAAAAGGTAATAATTTTTAATAACACTGCCTGTTGAAATGTTACAACTAAACTAATGTTACAACTAAATCCATATCAGGAGTGGGAGAGTTTGCTCTTTTAAAACTATTTCATTAGTGTATTTTAAGATTTTTGATATAATTCTCATTTTCCTTAGACATTTGAAAAACGTGTTACAGAATTGATTTCAAGAGATAATTTTAAAGAAAAAAGTTAAGAATTTAAGATTTATCTAGCTTTATTTACTATTCTGTTTAACACATAATACAGTACAGAACCCGTTATCCGGAAATCAGAAAACCGGAAAACCAAAAAACCGGAATGAAATTCGATAAATTTTCTCGCCATTTTTTTAAAAATAAATGTTTTTTTCCTCATAAGATTTTAGGATTTTTCTTTCTTTTTTGAAAGATGTTTACCTTACCATCATTTTGGAAATACTCATTAGTGTATTACTTCATCGTTTTTTTCTTCTTTTTAAGATTATTTCCAAATATTTTTTTTCAGTTGGGTTTAACGATAAAAAAACGGCTTTTTGTAGCGATTCAGAAAACCGGAAAAAATCAGTTATCCGAAATTGCGATGGTCCCGATCGTTCCGGATAATTGGTTCTATACTGTATATGACAAAAACACAAAAAAAAGAGAAACAAAAAAAGGTGGAAAAAAATAAAATAATAACAAATTTGCAAAAAAAAAAAAAAAAAAAAAAAAAAAAAAAAAAAAAAAAAAAGATTTTTTTTTTCTTTCAAAACCTGTTTTTCATTTCAAAATACTTTTTTAAAAATTACTCTCAATAAAATAGCTACCCCATAATTTCTGAGTCAAGAATTTCTCTAATATATTGCAGAGAAACAGTACCAAAAAAAATAACCTTGAATAACTTTTTGTCAAATGATTCAGTTTTCACCTATTAGGACTCAAATAATTGGTTCAGAAACATGACCTCAAATGTCAAAAAATTAGTGCATACAATATTTTAAGTTATAAAATAAGACACAAAAATTGTCCCAGTAGTTTGGTGAGGACAGTGGTTCAAATTTATCTGTCAATTTTATTCCCTTTAGTGCCAGTGTAACTTTTTGCCTATAAAAAATAAAATTACCGACCTGCCCTTAATAGGTCATACAGCGTAATTTTTTAAATTCAATCACAATTTTAGAAAGATTAAGTTTCACAACATAATAGGCAATGATACCAACAAATTACAACAAATAGGCAATGATACAAACAAATAAGTTACACAATAATTCACCACTAAAAGTGGGTTGGCGGCAACTGCAAAATTAGATCCATAGTAAATAAATCATAGAAAATTAAAATCAGGCAAGGGGATAAAACACCAGTATAAGGCAACCAAGTATAAAAGATGATTTTAAAAATGAGAAAAAAAAGAGTTAAAAGGTGTTGAGATAGATAAATCTAAGAGAACAATAAAATCAATTAAACTGTAAAATCAAAAGTCAAAAGGGCTTGTAATATCAGAAGAAGTTAAAAACAAAAGGGCTTGTAAAATCTAAAATAGTTAAATCAATTAGAGAATTAGTGAAAAATAAGAGAAGCCAAAAGGCCAAAATAAAAACAATTAAAATCAAAAAAGGGATGCTAAGAACAAGAAAATTGGTTAAAATTCAAAGTTAAAACAGCTTAAAAAGTACAAAAGTCAAATTAAAACAATCACAACATCAAAACAAAAACTGAGTAGACAATTAAAATGCAGCAGGATAAAAGGTGATAAAACATGATAAAAACAGTGAGACACCTGAATAAAATAAGAAATTGGTAACTTTTTGCGTATTTCACCATATCTCAAAACTCTTTAAGATAATTGAAAATTGTGGCATGCATTTATGACATTTGTTTATTCAAAGATATTTCCATGCAAAAAATATTTAGTAATTATTCATTATTTTATTTAACAATAGTCTAAAAATTTTAGAACTGAATTGCGTCGAATTCTCTTAGGTATACAATGTTTTTTCATCATTTAAAGAATGCAATTTTATATGCCAAAATACAAAATTTGAGTAAAATCAGTACAATAGCTCCTCAGTTATCGAATTTTAAGACATCAAAAACTTAAAATTTGATTTTTTAACTATTCGACTGATGTCACCTACATTTTTTAATTAGCTAAATAAAATAAAATTTCTTAAAATGATGTAAATGTTTGCATATCTTACAATTCAATATTTTTTTTGAATACAATTAAAAATATATATATATATATATAATAAATAATAATTTATAATTATTTTCTGCATTTTTGGAAAAACAAATATTTTAATTGCTCACAAAATTTTTTCAATTTTTTTTTAAAAAGTTTCCCAAAAGTAGTAAAATATGTTAAAAGTAAAATAAACATTAATATGGTCCAAATTTTTAACTGCTCTCTTGACCATACTAGTAGGATCATATTTTAAAATATCATCGCAATAGAATATTTGAGGCTACTCCCCGCGAACCATTAAGTCCTAATATGTGAAAATATGATTATTACAGGCTGTACCAGATTAAGTGTCCCTAAAGTAAAGTCCAAGCAATAAGAAATTAAAATGTTCCAAAATATTTTTAATGATTCTTATATCACTATGCAACAATCAACTCCTTTATCACATAAAAGCTAAAATCCGTCCCCATTTTCCTTTTTAACTTTATACAAACAATTGAAAAACTCATCACAACTGCTTTCTATGGGATTTGATCCCAAATCTGTATTTAACTTCAGTGTTAGTTCTGTACAATATTTATAAACAACCTGATATTTTTAAATACAAAAAAAATAGAAGTAATTGGATGGCCCACATGATTCAAATGAGTGATGAAAATATGATAAAAAAGATATTGCCTTTTAGACACAATGTGCTGATTCGGTGGAATCTGATTTTCTTACAATTAATGAAAAGAATTGGAGATTGAAAATAAATCTGAACTTGTTATGGAGAAATCTTCAGAGGAAGGCACTGGCCCACATTGGGCTGTCTGACCAACTATGATGATGATGATGAGTTCTCTCATGCTTTCAATCTTGAAGAGCATATACCCCTGCAAAAATTAATCAAGAGGATTTAAATCTGGATAAGACTACTCATTTGTATTGATGAAATATGGCAAATTGCCACTTCTGCAATATGTCTTCCTTGATTTGAAGGCACCAACCACAGTGCTGACGTAAAATATCCACAACAATAGACAGATCATGGGTTAGAGTCCCCTTGACATCAAACTAACCGTGGGAGGTTTTCCTCTTCATGTAACGCAAATGCGGGTTAGTTCCATTGTTAAGTCCTCTACGAAGGTAAAATTCCTCCCAATACTTGATCCAGGAACTCCCTTGTTTTTCAGATTGGGTGCAAAATTATAAGGCTATGGCGTTGAACAATGGTAGTCGTAAAGCCGAAAATTGGGTGGGCTGTTTAATGACGGCTATAAAATAAAATACTTCTAAAAGATTGGCATGGTTTGCACCTAAACTATTCTCTAACAGCTTTGACCAGTTTGCTGTCCTAACCTTTCTTTTGGTTCCACCTCTATGATGAATTGGAGAATCACCAGTGTTTCTGATTCTATTTAGAAAACAAATAAAAAAAAATTTGACTCATATCAAACTCTTAATTTCAGAAGGTATTTTCGTTAAGATTTTAAATAAGCTTTTGAACGCATCCATTTTGACTGAACAAATTTAGACTGCACATAAAGTATAACAGACTGTAAGTAGAATATAAAACAATGCAAAAATTTGTGACACCTATTCTGATCCATCCTGTAGATCAAAAATTATTCAGGGTGACTCTTTATTTTTCTACACACCACTTCATTCCAAATTTATTAATTTGCAGATTCCATAACAATGCAAATAATTTGAAAAGTGTGATTCAAGCAATACCTTCATCTAATAATAATAAGTTCATTTTCTAATGTTCATTCACCAGCCACAGCCCAGATGAACCTCAAACAAATGTCATAAATCTAATTCTCATTGTGTTATATTACCTAAAGAAGATAATTAAAAACAACAGGTAGAGCAATATCACAATCACAGGTAAAAACATAAGTTGTGGCGACTCAACTTATTCGAAACCATGACTTTTCATTCACCAAAACAATCTTAACTGTCTCTGTAGTATGACATGATGTGCTGATTTATATTCACCTTCTTTACACTTTAATATTTTTGATGTTAATAAAACCTAATGAATAGTCTCCTGAACATTAACCAACCACCACAGCGGTGACAGCCGGACGTTCAAATATTAAGGAGATTATGTTTCAGATAGAATAACTTGTTTCGTTTCGGATATCTGAAATTTCATAAAAACAATACTGTGGCTTTTTAATTTTAGTTTCTTACTTTCTATCGGAATGCATATTGTATATTAATTTAATTACACTCTATATATTTTATTACATTTTTAATATGCAGCCAAATAACACTGAAAATACTCACGTAGATAAGGTAGCACTTAAATTACCCCCTTTTTGGCGAACAAATATTAAGTGTTGGTTTTTGCAAGTTGAAAGTGCATTTATATTGTCTAACATGACATAGGAAGAAACTAGATACACAAGTCTTATTGCACACATCGATGCAAAAACAACTTACAGACCACTGTGGGCTACAACTTGCTGAACAATATTGCTCCAAATATTTCTGTTTCAACAGTATAAAGATATTAAAAAAGAACATTTGTTTTCAAAATTATTACCTTCACAAAAATTTGTAAGGCCTGATAGGCATTTTGCCGCACCGATGCAGAAAGAGCTCTCATTCCCGACAACTGACTATCAACATCAGAAAATTCAGAATCAGAGCTGCTACTTTTAATTTTAATATCCCTGAAAGAGTTGCTAAAAGTAGATAAATTATTGTCTGTCCCACTGTTCTCTGAATGATCTTCATGCTCATCTAAAAAAAAATTATAACTATAAATAGTTTGATAATAAAACAAAACATTTAAAACATAAAAGAAGTGTACTAAACTATTTTTTACCCCTTAATTTAATGTTGTATTTATTTAGCATGATTAACATTTTGACTGATCACTGGTCTAGTGGTTACTGTACTGGACTGCGGGGCCAGTGGCTGAGGGTTCAAATCCCACTATAGGCAAGAATGTAACCTTTTCTCTGTGCGTGTTCTATGTCCTTTTTACTGTGTGAATGCAACTGGTCCTATAAACAGGTTTGTGGTTGTATGACATGGGCGGTGCTTTTCCACTGTTGCTGCTTAGCCACAAGTCCCCACTGCGTAACGATAAAAGAGAAGCAATTCTAGAATTTCTGTGGCCAATGGGAAATAGACCCAAGTGCCCGCCATTGAAAAAAACAAAAACATTTTGATCATATAGATTTATGCTTAAGATACAGCAAAAAGGAAAAGAAGTTAAGGTTGACTTAAGCTACCATGTTAAAACGAACATGCTTAATCGAAAAAAAAGAATGATGAACTTAGTAAAGAATTCAATAGTAAAAATTATTTCAGGCTAAAATAAGGGTCGACATTATTAGAGTTACTAAGTTTCTTTATTAAACTATCGTGATTACATAATTTTTGACAAACTAGTGAAAACGTTTGCATATTTAGAACATATACAATTTAAACATACGAAGTTAATTGTAAAAGGCACTTAGTTAATATTAAATTTTAGGGAGAAAAAAATATAATTATTTTTAAAAAAAATGTATCTATGTAGAAATTTGCTCCCCCAGGAGAATCCACCATGCAACTGCAGGACAAGAGCTGTCCTAAGTTTTAGCAGAAAACCAACTATCTGAATAAATTAAGAAGAAAATTCTGTCTCCCCAACTTCTGCGCTGTTTCCGTTTATCGGCTATGTATCGCTGGGTAAATTCCTATCTGGGTGAGTGGTGTAGCTATTCCTGCAGTAGTGGGGCTGCTTTTTAAAGCTTAAAACAAAAACATTTCTGCTAATAGAATTCAGGGGGATTTAAAAGTGCCTAACAATTAAATTGAACAAAAAAAAACTCATGAATATATTTTATTTTTATTTATTTTATTTCAAATGGCAGAGGTAATTGACATGAAAAAGCAGAAACATAGGAACAAAACAAGAAAGTAAAAAGTCATTTCCTTAGGAGCGCTCTTGCTTTCCAATATCGCTCGGTAGACGACGACCCGCGGAGGGCCCTGCAGCACAGGATGAGGTTGCCATCCAAAACAGCTTGGCTCATGCATAGAGAACAATAGGGATCAGGTGCCAGCCCTATACGAAACAGGTGCGCGGCTAGGCAGTCATGTCCGGTATATAGTCGAAACTGAGCGACCGCTTCGCGCCGCGGCCAGTCTGGAATGGTGTTCTGTCGGAGATCTCTCCACACTTTGGTTTTTACCCTTTCTGACAATTGATGGTGGAAATCCCCATTGATTTTTGATCTAATAATCCTTTTTAAAGTTGAAAAAGAGGACTGGGCTACTAAGAGCCTGGAGAATTCTTGTGCCTCTCTCTGCCAAAACATCAGCCCTCTCATTTCCTGCAATAACACAATGCCCGGGAATCCATTGTAGGGCTACAGTTTTGCCAAAAAGGTGGAGTTTACGTATCGCATCCTGACATTTTAGAACGTCGCAATTGGAAGGGAAATGCATAGATACAATCGAGCAAAGCGCCGCCTTCGAGTCTGAAGGGATAACCACATTTGAAAAAGACTCAGTAAAACAAAAAAGCTGTTCAAGAGCAATACGGATTGCAACAACTTCCCCGTCAAAAGCAGATCTATTGGCACCCACTGGAGCACCAAAGGAGAAGAGATTACAAGAGATACCAGCTCCAGCATTTGGTTGATCCGGATGGAAAGAGCCATCTGTAAAAACTCTCAGCCAGAGCGGTTCCGGGTAACGGATTCCCATTGTCTCCAGCGCAAGAAGGTGGAGAGCAGCGGTAGATGTTTCACTTTTAACAATGTCCTGTTCAAGAGAGAGCCTGACATTAATTTTTTGGTAGTCAAGAGGGCTCACCAGTTCCACCTGACCTTCTAGTTGGGGCAGATCGATCCCAACCAATTGATCTTTGACAGTCTGAATAAATCCATTTTGAGTTTTTAAATTACGAGGAGTAAGTTGATAGTTAGTCCAGAAATTATCCATTTGGGTAAGTTTAAAGTATAGTAAGACAGCCCTTTCCCTAAAGACAACATCCAAAGGTTTAATGCCTGTGAGCAAGGTCATTGCGTCTATAGGTGTAGTTTTTACAGCACCTGTTATTAGTCTAAGGGCCTGGTTTTGTAAGACCTCAAGCTTTTGAAGCAGGGATGTAGGCATAGAGATGAGTGGTTCAGAGCAGTAAGTAAAAATTGGAAGGATGTATTTTTGATAAGTCAGAGCGAGGGTAGACCGGGCACATCCCCAGAGAGTGCCAGCAAGTCGTTTTAAAATAGGGAGGTGTCTTACTACCCGTTCGGCAACAAATGCAACAGGGTTCCTCCAGCTCAGTTTAGAATCAAAAACGGTTCCGAGATAAGTGAAGGAATCAACATTTTCAAGCGTAGTGCCAGAAAAGGAGAGATTTGGTATAATAGGTCGATGCATTAGTGAGAAAGTTTGAGTGGCACATTTATTCAGATTTACTACTATATTAGTTTCCTCACACCAACGACTGAGGGATTCCAGTGCAAGATTAACTCATGAATATAACAATTATTATATCACTGGCCATATACCAACCTAATTTTTATCAACAATTGACTGTATTACTTAATGCATAACATTAACTGAAAATTTCAGTCAGAAAAGCTCTGCAGGCTTTTCTGACTGACTATTTTTACTTTTTTATTGAGTGGAATAAAACAAAATTAAATATCTTAAAAATTATCATTTTTTTTATAATTTTATGTACTCTTACATATAAAATGACTGTAGAGGAGTTTTGTTTAATACACATGGTTGTGCCTTATTAAAGTATGCAGGGTGGCCACTCAAATCAGGTTTTCTAGGAAAAATCTTAAAATTTACAGGTTTTTTCTGCTAAAGTGTAGTATAGGTACAAGAAAAGTGTCAATATTAGTGTATTAGTCAATATAATAGTGTAGTATTTCATTTAAAATGTTACTTTTTTTAATCTATCATCTTGAATAGAAGTGGAGGAAACAATGTTTAGCTTGCAGAAAATAACGCTTTTAATGAATAAAATTGTTTTAAGTTTAAATAGTTTTTGCACAAAATGTACCAAATAGTTAGAAACCAGTAAATTTTTATATTTATTTACATTTCAATATAGAGCCATTTTATACTGTATTTTATCCAAACAGTGCTCTTTATAAAATTCATTGAAATAATTTTCTTTAAACCAATATCATAAGTCAAATGTTTAAATAATGTTGTTTGTTTCAAATCAGCACTATTATTTTAAGACATACTCACTATTTGTAAAGGAAAAATTGTCAATTTCTTGTCGCATATTCTATAGAAGAAAAAAAAACTAGATAAAATTCTTTAAATTTTATTCTTTTTTTTCTTTTGTAATGGAAATTAGAATATATTATGAATTCCAATCTAACATGGTTTCCTAGTTTAGATGAGAAAATTGGTTTTGTTTTTACATCTAAGCAATTCCATGGTGTCGGAAAAAAATGAACATTAATTTCTTAGAAAAACTATCTTTTAAAACAAAAGTTTATATCATCAAATTTTTACATTAAATATTTAGTATATCATAACCTAACGAAAAACAATTTGTTTCATAAAAACTGATTATTATAAGTTCAAATTAAATGGATTAAATTTTTGCTGTCGGATGTGAATCGTGCGAAAGCAAAAAATGATTACTAATGTACAAATTGTCTAAACTCTGTGAATTTGTTGGCAATTTAAATGCAAACTTGACTGAATTTTGAAGCTGACATTTGAATAAAAAAATCCTATGCAGTTATTTGTGAAATGGTACATAATTAATTTGAATTTTTTACTTCAGTGTCAGACGTAGATTTCTCAAATTGGATAGAAATTTAAGTTAATGATAACCATTATAATGACTGAAAATTACTTTAATTTTAATCTTAATGCTATAAGTTTTATTTTTTAATTAAATAGCTTCTTTATATTTAAATTGCCTTCTATTTCCTGATGGAATGATCAAATTAATATGTTTTATAACATTTTCCATCTTATAAAAGTTTGTTTAAAAATTACTCACTTTAACCATGCAACATATATCAACAACAATATAAATAAAACTCATATTTAAGAAATATTTTCTTAAATTTAATAATTTTAAAAATCATGGAATAAAAAACTTTCTTTTTTTCTTTAAAAAAAAATGGGAAAAAAAGTTGATAAAATTCACTATTTTCATATACAATAAAAAAAATTCTTTTGAAAAAAAAAATAATCACTGTACATTAAAAGGAAAAAAAAAAACAAATTTTTACTGTATTATTAGCCTATAACAAATTTTTCAGTGAAAAATTGCTTTTTCTGGGCACAGGAAAAATTTTAATAATAACTTTATTATTTGCCTGCATAAAATTAAATAATCTTTCTCTATCAGACAATATTTATCGATATGTCTTTTACTTCTCTTTAGTGGCATAGAGTGAACAAGAACAAGAAAGAACACACACAGAACAAGAATAAAGCACAGTCCGGTATAAGCATATGTCCGGTTCTAGCATAAAAAAATAGGCCAAATTTTCGGAAAAACACTTTATATGAATTCTAGAATAAATTTTTATCTCTTATTAATATCCCCTCCCCAGTTTCATTGACCAATTACAGCCCCAACAAATAACTAATAATTTTTATCCCATTTACCTGAAAATTGAATAGGATGTGGGTTATTGTTGTAGTTTGCTATGCAAGTAGGTTTAATACTTTTTTCACAAAATTATTTTTTTTCTTTACTCAAAAAATAAATAAATAAATACAGAATGTTCTGAAATTATTTTTCTCCA